AATAACAAAATAAAAAGAAGATTTTTCTTTTCTACCGTAATTCTTCATTGCCACGCGATTCAAACAACTGATCAATAAGATCTTTTTTTTTTTGCATCGTCGAAATTAATTTGGCTGCAGCGACCGAACTTATTTCTATACGGAGATATGAGAATTGTCTATTGTTAAATTTGTCGTCGGGATCTATATATATATATTTCTAATTCGGTCTTATTCGAATTCAATGATATATAGTTTGCTGAAGGTTTATAGATAGATAGGTGAAAGGGAGGGTTAGTATTTGAATCCAATAACAACGAGCAATTGCACTGATTTTCAGATTTTTTTATGTTAGATAGATTTGTGACTTTCGATAATCCTCCGCCGTCACTGAATTATACGATTTCATTTTATATAGCGTGGACAAAATTTTTCGGTCGATGATCAACAACGTGACATGACGGGACGAGACGGGACGGGACGGGACGAAACGGGAACGGAACTTGACGCGACGGTGTGATTTCTCATGGACGAAGATAGAAACGGAGGTAGGAATTATATAGAACAGGAATGGCCTATAAGATCGACCCAACCGGTAGACCGTGAAACGATTTTTGTTCAGTCATGGCCAATAGAAGACACTAATTAAATACGCAAACGCAACTTATTGTTAGTCGTGATTCATAGAAACAAATGATAGTGGCTGCTTTTCGAATGTGTTCAATTTTTTATAAATTTAATGTTACAGAGTTTATATGTAATAAAGTTGGCCTGATATAGAGTAGAGAGTCTCGATTCGTATCGGAGGACACACGACGAGGTGGAGAAGAAAATCGCTGCGAGGGGATTGAGCGGGGTTAACGGGGTGAAAGGAAAGACACGAGGACGATTTATAATCGGTGACGAATGAGCGCGATCGCGTGGATCTCTCGTCTCTCTGACGTTTTATAAATGTCGCAAAGCAATAAAGACGCTCGATGGATTAGCCGTGAGCCTGGCATTCCGAGGCACCGGATTCTATTCTGGTGATTTGAAACCAGGCACGCGCGTCCAATGAATCAATCGGATGCCACGTTGCTCCGGAGTCTTCCCTTCCTTTCCCTACGTCTGTTGCCTTTGATCTGACGGTTGTCCTTAACGTTGCTGAAGGGTGAATCTCTCAAAGAGCACCAAGCAGCGTCAGCGCGTTAGCGACGTTTTCGATTTTGCCTTTCTCTCTCTCTCTCCCTTGCTAACCCTCACTCACTGTCTCATCCATTTTCTTTCTATTTCTCTTTCTACCTAAAAGCTAACTTTTTCCTTTTCTCTTTCAACTTTGGAAAATATATAATATAGTATATATATATGAAATAATGAACGATACCTAGAATGTAAGAGAGTTCACCTTTCACACGTGATGCTCTTTCGTTGGCAATTTTCAGTGAATCACCAGACATTTTCCCTGCTAAGTTACTTTACGTTACTATCTCCAAATTCACGTGCTGCTCATAAATACACCGTCTCCTCCTCCACCTTTTTACGCCCTTTCTTTAACTGATCGCGTTTTCGTTTCGAAACCCGACAGTTTCCAATATCCCGAACTGCAACGTTTCCATCTGGGGTCTTCTTAAGGTAGAGGCAACAGATTTCTTTCCACCTGCTCACCCTCTTCCACTTTTTTTAACAACTTTTTCTTTTTATTTCTTTTCCTATGAAGGACAAATCGATAATCTACAGATCTATTAAGAACGTTAGGGTGGCGTATTAATAATACGTAGATTGGTTGGTGTTAGAAAGCTGGATTGAAGCCAATCTTGAGTCGCACGTGCGTGTTATACCCAATGCAAAATCGTGATCAAACAAAGCTTACTCTCGCCTTGCAACATTTGAAGAGAAAGACAGGGACAGTTGGTTGACTCTACGCGGATTCATTCCGGGTGGTTGGAATTGGCGCCAAGATTTTCCGAGCATGCGCGCCATTATCGTTCGTCGTTCTCGTACTGGACTACTCTTTCTCTCTCTTCTACCCTCCTACATTCTGTGCGTCGACCTTTACCTAACAACGTTCCCGTTTCCTACTACTGCAACCACCACCGTAGCCACCCCCGTCGCCAACCCTGACCTGATTTATGGGATTCTGGAAGCGTCTGCCTTGCCGACGTACGTTTTCGAGGATTGTCTCTGTCTCTGTCTCTCTCTCTCTCTCTCTCTCTCTCTCTCTTGTTTTCCCTCCCCACTTCTTGTTCATTCTTCTTCCCTCTCCTACCACAGACAGCTGGCTAGTGTTTCCACGAGCAAACGCATAAATATGTACACACTGGGCGTCAGAGAGTACCAAGGCAAGTGGAATACCTATGTCGCGATACGTTCATTTTCGTCTCTTTGTTCTAAAGTTTAAGGGCTCTAGGAAGAAACACGTCTTAAGATTCTATAACGTAAGTATATAAGAGAGAGAGTTGATACTTAAATACATATCTCATAGTTAGGATATGCCAAGCGTCGAAGACACCATCCAGATTGCCTTCTTGTAATTTTCCAAACAATATTTTGTCTCTGTCCTGTTTTTGTGATTATTTAAAAAGATTGAATCAATTCAATATGTTACCAAAAGACTCGTTTACAATATGCTACGTTCAAAAATAATAAAAATTAATTTTTAGCAGAAAGGTTGATCTTAGGGATCCATATTAATTAGACATTTTTTACTCGTCTTAGAGAGTACTAATAAGCCCTTCAAATATCACCCTCTATATATATATATATATATATATATATTATACACACACACATACACATGCGTTTAACCATCAGAGTGCTCCTTCCTTCGTCGCTTTAACTTTAACGGCTCTTAACAAATTTTCTCGTACGACAAGACATCTCTTACGAAGGCGAGCCTTTGTTTCCGGGCGCCAGACGTGTCCGCTGAGCGTGTACATGGATCCGGCGAACAAAACAGCGACGTTTCCCGGAAAGCTTCGTCGACGAGTAAATTTCCTTTACCCTCGGAAAGGAAAAAAAAAAAAAAAGAAAAAATAGAGAAGGAAAGGAAATAAAAAAAAAAAGAAAGAAAGAATCATGCCCGGGGTGGGTGACACAAAGGCCGAGTGATTTGTGTCGTTTGCCATTCTTTTGACCGTGCGGCAAGGATTTCTCTCTCTCTCTCTCTCTCTCTCTCTCTCTTTTACTCCTTCCTTTCCTCCCTACCCCTAGAACCCTCCTCCATCGCGTTTTCTCCGTCTTTCTCGCAGATATGGCCGAGTAATATACGAGCCCTGCATCTGTTCCCCGAGTGACGCAACGTCCCGCCATAGATCACACCCAGGCTTTTAGAGAGTGAAGGCTGTTAAGGAGCATGCGAGAGAGAAAAGGAAAGATAGATAGATAGATAGATAGATAGATAGAGTGAGAGAGAAAGAGAGAGAGTGAGAGTTGAAGAGAGGGTGTCGAGAGAGGTCGGTAAAGGGAAGGTGGAAGAAGAGGCGAGTGTGTGCAAGAGAATAGTATAAGGGGAGAGAGAAAGAAGGAGATAGAGGAACGGAGAACAGATGCCTTCTAGTAGGAACGTTCCAGAGAGAAAGAGAGAGAGAGAGAGAGAGAAAGAGATAGAAACGAGCGAGAGCGACAGGGTGACGTACTGTTACTGTTAAACTCGGCTGCGCGTAAAGAAGAGCATGAACAGGAGTGTGGCTACCTCTCCAGTGTATCGTGAGCATACGAAGAGATAGTAAGAGTAAGAGAAAGAGAAAAAGAGAAATGGAGAGAAAGAGATATGTAGAGGTAAAACGTAGAAGTGGTTAGCGGTGAAAGTCCACAACTGTGGACGGATTCGTCTCTCTCTTTCTCTTGCTTATAATAGTCTTTACGAAATGGTCGCCACATAGTCCACTCTCGTGGATCAGTCAGGCGGATGTATTGTATTTCACATAAAAAAAAGACCTAGCTTCCCTATAGAAAGCTAATTAACTCGATCACGTAGGGTTGGGGTGCCAGACCTTATTAGCGGAATTTATCGATCTGTACGAGTTCTTCTACAAGACTTTTCTATCCATTCGTTTTGAATGCAATATCGTTAATCGTAAGAAAAAAGGAAAAAGAAGTTAGACTTTTTGTTAGAAATATTGTCAATAGTTTTTAGATCATGTGATAATCTTTTTATGTATGCATTTATAGGACTCTAAGGATTAAAAAAATATCTTAAAGTTGTCCGAAAAGAATCGAAGTTAGGGAGTTCCTAGAGAAAGGGGATGAAATGGAAAAGGATTGGGGGAATAGGGTGGACGATGTTGACGCGATACAGTCGCCCCTACGTCGTACGCCCCTACGTACCAACGTAGAAACCATTGAGGTGAGATATACGAGCGAGAGTTTGTTTGCGCTTATGGCCTACGCCTGGAGGAAGAAGGGTCGGAGGACTGAGAGGTGGGTGCCGTTTTATCGAGGCACCCTTATGCCTATTACAACCCCTTCTCGTACCTATCCTAGCCTCGTTCTGTCCACCACCATTACTAGCAGCAGCAGCAGTAGAGGTACTCTCTTCTCTTCCCTTTCCAGCAACACCATTCGGCACCCCTTCCCCCCACCGACCGGGTGACGGTGCGCGCGAATTAAAACGCCTCATAAATATCTGAAACAAAGGCGGCCGCTTTCGAGGGCGTACGCCAGAAAGATATACGACTGGTTACGATGCTTGGCACCGGGTGGATAAGGGAGTTTCGCTCGCTCGTTTTCGGTGGGTGGCTTGCTGGGAGTACGACCAGTGTCGTTGCACAAGGAGAACGAGAAGGAAATAGAGGAAAATGAGCTGGATACGTTGTTACTTCTATGTAAAAGCATGTAGCCAAGAAGGGTGAGCTCTCTAATGCGAAAATTTTACTGTCGAAAAGCTACTCTCAAAAGTATGGCGCATTAAGCTCAAACAATTTTTATGCTCTCGGATTATACTATCATCGGTATGAACTTCCTGGTCACTCATTTTTTGTTAAACGTTACTTGCGAATCTCTTATTAACAATATTCTGACCAGAGTACATTTTTCTCTTTTAGGTAAGTAGTGGTCTCCGAACGTTTGCAAAGCGAGCGGCCCGAAGCCGCCGCATCGGACGGAAGATATGCGAAGCAAGCAACAGCCGAGGCCTTCCTTCCGGTGGCCGCAGCAGCGCGGCGATAATCTAACCGGTAAATATATCAAATGTAACGTTTCACGAAAAATCGCTACGCATGTTATACTATCCCAGTTATTTTCAGTTCACGTTTTGCATTAGACGAGACATTTGTTTAGTTTTTGTTTTCCTTATGCACGCAGTGTAGTAGTCACTTGCACAGTAGTTCATACCGCATGGTTTCTCGATTTATTATCGATTCTAAATAGAAACAATGTTTAAAACATAGACCAATGTGTTGTAAGAAGTAGACTGTTTGTTACCTGTAAAACGTTTTAAATCGTATTTTGTTTTTAATGCAGTAAATATTATTTTGCTCATTTGCCGATTCTTCGTGCATATATCAAAATACCGGTTGCAATAAATAGTTAGGTACAATGATTCGCTTAACGACGTTTATACTTTTCTCACGTTCAGAAATTCTCATTCATTAAGTGCTTGTCGTCATTCCGTTCTTTATCTTTCTCTCTCTCTCTCTCTCTCTCTCTCTCTCTCTCTCTCACTCTTTCTTTCAACGAAGAGAGTCTCGTAAATCGGTAATGTAAAGCGTTGTATAAAGGCAAAGCTGTGGCCAAAGAAACATGACCGATACGACAAACGGTATAGCGATTCTATAGGTGGGCGCAGGTAGAACGGTTTTCTACCTCGATCAGACAGGTTACCCGTGATGAGGTTTGCACAGGTGCCATTCCGATGGGATACATTCTACTTTTCAACTTTTACGATATTCTATCGTCGTTCTTTTAATTGCTACACGTTTTTCCATCGAATTTCAACTCGATCCTACGTTCATCGATTTATACTTCCAAATTTAAAAGCGTGTCAAATAAAAATTTTATTCTTCTGATTTTTCAACACCTTTTTTCATCAATTTTTTATAACATAAATTAGTTAACTGCTTAACAATAATTACATTGTTTTATAATTGTAGAAAGGTACTAATATTCAAAGTATAATTGTTATTTAAAATGAAAAATTGATGATCGATGATCGATCGTAGTACCTTTAATGTTAAATAAATGATCAATATTCATAATATGCATAGAGGTAGGTCAGGGTTGCGTCATGAGTACATATTGATACGGAATGTATAATGATATTTTATTATAAATAATACATATGTTTTAAAATGTTTACGCGATAAATAGCAACTGTTAAAAAAAATGAATACTTTGTATTTATGCACAATGAATAGAAAATTAGTTACATTTTTATTTGTGGTTTTAAAAATATTTACTTTTCATTCTCGCGTCTATGTACGTAATATAAATAATTTATTCTAAATGATCGTACGTCGATCGTAAAACACTTTTCATCGTCTCTTCATTTAATAACAAATTTATTCGATGAAAAACTAAATAAAGAAAAATGATGACGTTATGACGCGCGATTTAGTAGAGTATATTTAATGAACAAATAGAATCTATATTTCATCGTCAGTGTTTAGCATAATTATTTGTCGCGTAAATCCTACTTAAAACGTGGCTCTCTTCCTGCTCGAGTAGTATGTTGCAAGTTGTAGTTAGCAATTATCCCGATGAAAATTTGAACCTCGTGGATGAAAGATACGGGGAGAGCATTTAAACTCATATCGATTTCTCACTCCTCTCTCTCTCTCTCTAAAGCAACGTTCGTCCGTTCGTTATTCGAGGGAGTGAGGGGAGAGGGCCGTCGATAATTATGAGATCCATTATAAAGGTAGTTCGACCTATTTTCAGATAACATAATGCTTTATGGTAATGAGCGAGTGTCGCCGAGTCCAAACAAAATTGCGGTCGTTTAAATAAAACTTTTTATTGGGTTCCCTCTCCTTCTCTCTCTCTCTCTCTCTCTCTCTGGTAAGCAAAGGAATATAGCTGTGCAATCAAGCGACGAGGATAACCAAGCAAACAACATCAGCAAGATCGGTAGAAGCTCGTGGTGTTACTCCCATCTTTTCGTTACGAAGCAAAGACACGAAACGGTGTCGTAAAACCGATAACCGACTGACTTTTCTCGATCTGCTCTGACTGTCCGTAAAATGTGCAATCAACCTCGATTTCACAGCGAACGACCATCTTCCAGACTGGACAGAATGGATGACAAGTGAGGAGAAAGGGTGCGCTCAGAAAGAAAAAGTCCTCCTTAAAAGCACTTTGATCGTTTCGTGCGCGATATTTCCAACGTATAATTTTCAATGATTATTTCATTTGGTTCTTTTACAATAAGCTTTAATTTACTTTACTTTCAGATCATAATCTAGATTGTACTTTTTGTCAAGTTTAATAGGCTCTTTTTATATTTTTATTTAACTTGTTTCCTTTTTACTGCAATTTATTTATTATTTCATGGAAAAATTTATTATAACGCGATGATGACAAAAGCGAATATACTAAATCTTGAGTTCTTTATTTGAAAACTACACGCACATATTATACTATTGTATATAACGTGAACGCGTTTAGCAGGAAAATGTGGTGGCAATAATTTTGGGATACCTGAAAGTATCAGTCGAGCTTGTTACGTGTCAGGCAAACGTGATGCATCGATTCGAGCACGGGTAATAAATTTGGTTCGGCGCGTGTCATCGGATCTGTCGCGATAAAAGTTACAAGAACGTGAGCAGGCGCGTACTCTAAAAGATAGTTTCTGATGGTTTCACGTTTTTTAGGAAGAGATAGCTTAGAACGTGATAATTCTGCGAGTCGTTTCGAATGATGCAGGTGTATGGATACCACGACTGTTATCCTTTATGAATAAACCTAAAAGATAGGTGGATATGAGTATTGTACGTGCTCGTTCTATTCTTCCACGCTTCTCAAAATTAGACTCGTTCTTCGTGATTTATTGTCACGTGCTCGTAACATGACTTCTACGAGTAACTAACGCGCGGCTCTCGTTTGCTTCGAGAACTCACACCTAGTTATTCCGAAACTTCCATTTGAAAATCACTTTATTCAAAGTTTAATAGAAAACGATCTTCGACACAAATGAATGAATTTAAGAGCAGGTGTAGGCTCGTACCTATTTAATATCTTTCATCTAATTGTATATAAAAGGAAAATCTCGACCAAATCTTCACGCCACCAAATATAATATTAAACTCAGGATTTTTATTCTCTTGACGCAACCTGATTTTCTACTATAGAAAAAAGTAGAATGACTTGATGGGACAATAGAGTAACACATTACATTTATATAAAAGAGAAACCGGACTTCAGGTATCCAAGAATTATTTGTTTAAGAGTTTCGAAGCAATTTGAAGGAAAGAATCTTTTTGTCGACATCATGAAATATTAAAAGTTTTAATTCTGAAAACGTTCTATCATTTGTAGGCAAATTTCTAAGTAGATAAATATCTATATAGATAGGTATTTGAAGATTGTAGGATGAAATGTTTTGTAGTAACAAAAATGTACAGGATGAAGAAGAAGACGAAGAATCAGAAGAAGAAGAAGAAGGTAACGATGGCAGTGGTAATGGTGGTGAGAGAGAGGGGCGGTAATGGCCGAGGGTGAGTAAGCGTACTCGCGCACGTGTGCTCGACAAACAGGGTCGTCAAGAGGGCGACTTTGACTCTCCCCCGTATTAGTAGTCGTCGTCTCGGTCGATGATAACCCGTGGATGACGTGACAAGTGAAAACCTGTATCCGCGCATACATATTTTCTCTCTTACTCTTGGTTATGTGTGTTTTACCATATACATGCGCGCGCAACGGGAGCTATCGGTGCACGTTTAAATGAACCGTTCTACCTTCTGCTTTGATTTCAAAGAGAGAAAGAGAGAGGGAGGGCCCTAACAGCCGAGGAATATTCATTTAAATATCTGTCAATACTCGAATCCAACGAGGGCTGTCGTCCGGGCCGGGGGCGGACTTACGTGCCCTCCGTTGCTCACCATCGTTGGTCCTCCACCAGTCCTCCGTTAGAGGAACGGAGGTACCGTGTCGGTTCTCCATCGTCGTCGTCGTCGTCGTCGTCGTACTCTCTTTTCTCTCTCTCTCTCTCTCTCTCTCTCTCTGTCTCATTCTTTTTTTAGCAGTGCGATACTTCTATACCGCACAACCACGCTTGCAGACGTCTGATCTCTGTCGTGCAGGTATTTTCGATTCACCTTTGTACTCGTCCCGTCATCTCCGTACCTCTCTCTTTCGATTCTCGATGCGTTCTCTTTCTCTTTTTCTTTCTCCTTCTCTCCTCTCACTGTCCGCTGCAGCTTACGTAGCTTATCCTTTTTATTATAGAGATATACCTACATACCTGCCCCGTCTATGTACCAACCATATGTAGGTACGTATCGGGTACTATCGACCCTTCCTTCAACCTCCGCCCTATTCGCCATCGAGATTTCATTTATTACACAAGACCTATCGAATAAGCGTTACCGTAAATTCCTATTGCTCGGACAGGAGCTCTCGATGCATTTAGATAGTCCAAAATTGAAGATGCCTTTTCGAAGGATCTCAACTAACCGTATCTCTACTCCTTCTACTTTTTATAGGATAAAAGTTAATTTGATTGGCGAGCTAGCTGAGGCTATAATATCGTGGTTGGTTGGAAACGTAGACATGATTTTGCATGAGGAATGAAAGAAGAAAGGGGTGAGGGGGTGATGGTAAGGAGGAGCACTTTGCGTGCGTCATTTAAGAGAAGCTTAATGCCGCCGTAAAACACGCTAACGGCCGACTCTCGTCAGACTCTTCACGAGCCGGAGGGTGTTCTTACGCCTTTATCCTCCTTCCCCTCCCCTCTTCCCCCTATGGTATATATGGTTTCTGTTCTATCTACCTCTTTAGCCCCTGAAGCATTCAACGATGTCCCAGAGTAGCATCTTTATCGTGACACCAAGCAGTCGTCTTTCCTTCTTACATCGTCTTCGAGTTCTGTTGAATGACGCCAGTGTGTCGACTTTATTCGCATGCTATGTATTTGCTACTAATGCGTTAGCTGCTTTACGATCGTACATTACGCTTAGGTTTTGATAGTCCCAATGAGATTTTTCGATGATACGTCACGCGTATCATGTGTGTTTGCCTT